TGATTAAGTAGAGGAAAAACGTTTTATATTTTATTTATGCCAAGTTCAACATTCTTCACTTATTTGTGTAGGTTTATATTTTTGTCAGGCACCATATTCTTTTGTAAGAATAATTTGCTTAAATATTTATAGTGTGCATTCGCTGATAGTGATTCCATCAACTTCATATTTGAAACCTGGAAAATTGTTTATGTTTCTTTATTTTTGAAATATTTTTGCTTGTTATAAAAATCTCGTCCAGAAGAACTGAAAGATCTGTAAAAAGAAAACTATTTTTTAAAAACCCAGAGGAAGGAAATTGAAGAAGAAACAAATAAATAGAAGAATGTCCTGTAAATTGGAATAATTAATACTATTACATTCCAATGTCCATACTGTCCAAAACTCTGCAGATTAAATGCAATTTCTATCAAATGATATTTTTCACAGAAATAAAAAGTCTTCAAAGTTTGCTGTAGAAACACAAAAGCCCCCAAGAAGCTGATGTAATTATACACCAGAAGGACAGAACCAGAATCGTCATATTACCTGATAGCAAAATGTATAAAAGCTAGCATATTAAAACAGCGTCGGGCCTGACAACAGAGGTATAGACTAATGGGGCAGAATGGAGATCGCAGCATAGCCCCCACAGTGACAGCCAGCTGAACTTTGGCGACGTGCGGAGGGGACAATCTGTTCAGTGATGGTGTCAGAACAACTTGTCATTCACTTGCTGAAGAATTACACTGGACCCTCACCTCACCTCCTCTACAAAAATCGACTTAAAGTGGATTTAAAACATAAATCTAAGACTTAAAACTTAAAAACTATTAAAATAAAATAGAAGAAAACCTTCCTGACACTAGTGTGGGCAAAATTTCTTGGCTATGACCCTAGAAGTACAAGTAACAAGGGTAAAAATAGGCAAATGGGATTGCATCAAACCAAAGTGCTTCTTTACAGCCAAAGAAAGCAGATGAATAAAGAAAGAACCTATGCTTTGGCAGAAAATGTTTGCAAAGTGTATATTTGATAGAACTTAATATCAAACTACATATAAAGAACTGAAACAACTCAATGGTAAGAAAATAACCCAATTTAAAAAGGGAGCAAAGGCCTGAAAAATAATATTCAAAAAGGGATTGGGAGAGGGGAGAGCGGGCAGCAGGGAAATGGGAAAGGAGATCTCACAGACTATTTTGACCCCAGAATTTGAAGCGTCCATCTGTGGTCTTCTGACTCGCAGAGCTCCCGATAGGAGTCTGCCTCGTTCCTGTAGCTTACAGCACTGTAAAGAGTCGATGTTTCTCTACCTTTTACGTGTTTTGTAAGCTCAAATTTGGTATTTGTCCTGGCTTTCCTGAGCTTCTTGGACCGTATTTGTGGTCTTACTGATTTGGGGAGTCTCTGCAACACCATTTTCGCTGTTTCTTTACAGCTATGTTCTGCATCCAGGTATCAGTTGTCTGTATATTAGACCATTTGACCTTTTCTAGCACTCGGACTCGATGCTTTATTTCTTCCCGTCTTACTCCGCTTACCCTTCACTTTCTATTGGCCAGTCTCTAAATTCCCTGGTTGTTTCTTCAGCAGTCTTCTAATGGCCTGTGTTCAGTGGAGACAGGAGAAGCCAGGTCTGCCTGCGCCTCGCTGCTCGAGCCGTACCTGGGAGTGAGTGGGCCAAGACAGCAGTTGTGTCCGGTGAGCTTTGTGGTTGTCCTGTTCTTTCCGGACTGACATTTTCAGATCGCTCTGACAGGACTCTGCATTTAGGGTGGGACCTTTGTCTCAGCGTCCTGTTACTTTGGCTCCAGTTCTGGCCTTTGCGATTGTGCCTCGCATGAGGGCTCCTCCTATGCTTTTCATGCCCCTCCATCCACACACTGCTGTGGTCTGCCTTCTAGCTCTTCTGTCACCTCTTTTTTTATGGGTGATTTATTTATTTACAGTAGGTTACTGTTCATACAAGAGGAACTGACTAAGGCAGCACTGTGAGGCTATTAACTTTCCTTTCTGTAACATCTTGTTTTGGCACCTATATGATAACATTGTCCATAATTGTCCTTAATTTGCTGTTCATTTGCCATCTTTTCTTAAATCTTTAATGCTTTCACACTGCTTCTAGAATTAAAAAATCCTATGGGGATTGACCCTTTGAAGTCTCTTCTATATTTCCCTTCTGTCCTACTGTCCTTACCCTGAAGTGTTGAGATTCTCCTTCTTCTTGTATAGGCAAACTTCACCTCTACTGGTAACTTTTCAGCTTTCCATTCAATTTCATAAACTTTTTTCCTTATTATTTTTCAGAACACATTTTTAGGGAGTATTTTATGATAGATTTTCCAAGTCTGTGACTCTCCAATTCTGAATTTGCTCCTAGGAACATCCCTCTGGTCTGAATCTGTTTTACGTCTTTATTTTCTTTATTCCTACTACAATCTACAGAAACTGTGGTAGGCTTTCTGTCTCCTGATCTCTACTGTAATACCACTACAGCTGGAGATCAGGACATGGCAAAGCAGCGGGTCGCCAAGCCTGACAAATGAGCAGAGCAGAGGATGCCTGGACCAGACTTCAGGGCGGAGCTGGGAAGGGCTGCAGCAGTGGTCCTCAGGATGCTGTGTTCTCTCCTCTCAGTGGCCCACTCTGCGTGCGTTTCTTTTCTCACAATTCTCTTCAGAACATTCCTTGTGCTTTAAACACTTCTTTTCACTTATTTTCTCCCTACTTTTCCATGTATAAACCTTTCTTTAAACTTCAATACCTGCAAAACCTCTGCCTGCCTCAGAAGTCTTGTCAGGTCTTTGAACAGGACACAGAGCCTGGAGAGGACCCCTGGGACCCCAGCATCTGGTGGCACAGCTGTCTGGCAAACCACCTGGAACTTAGTGTCTTCCCAAGAATAAAGCAAGTCAAATTTCTTACTAGATATCTAAATTTTCTAACAATAGCATATTTTGTACATTCTTTCTTTCAGTTGTACTGTAAATATAGGATTTCAATTTCTTTTCTCAGTCAGATTTGGTGAGAAACAGCCACTTAAATTATTGTCAAGATTCATATTCACAGCAGAGCAAATGATTGGAACATCTGCAAATAGCTGCTTTGCCGACAGGACACTGCCATCCAGTACACGGTTTTGAAAACAGAAGCTAAAGCGTCTGTTTATGAAAGTATTGTGTTACATGTTGACAGCTACAGAATATGTTCAGTGCTTTGCATATAAACATCAAATAGATACTGCCCACTGGGTAGAAGTATACACTTCCCAAGAAAGAGGTGCTGCGTAGAGTAAGCGATGATGGGCCTCCAGGAATTAACAAGGTAAATTTGAGGTTTAATTAGAAGTCAAAGTTTGACCAAGCAGCAGAAATTCTGTCAAAATCCTCATAGTCTGCTGGAAATCAGAAAATGTGCAAAGGTACACATGACCAAGATGAGGGATAAAAGCGCAGCCCTGAAAGTAGCTGTGTGACAGCATCTGAGGCTGTGAGGCAGTAAGGAAAGTCCCGGATTTTTTAAGAATTTGAAAGGCAAGCTCTTGAGATTTTATTTTCTTCTGGAGTCATAGGGCATAAAAAGGGCTTTGATGTTTTTCTGTGACATGATCTAATGGGTCTATGAAGAGAGATGTGAATGGTCAAGCAAAAGAAATCAAAGGACTATGGAATAACTCATATACTATACCAATAAAAATCAAACAGAATGCCGGGGATTTAGCTCAGTGGTTCCAGCGCCTGCCTCGCAAGCACAAGGTCCTGAGTTTGATCCCCGGTACCAAAAAAAAAAGTTAAAAATCAAACAGAAGCTCTTCGAGATTTATAACAAGCAACAATATTCAAGCACATAAAGGGAGTTTGTATACGTAAATTCTTTAAGAAAGGAATTAATATGATAGAAACTTCAAAAATTACACTGAAACTATGATCTATGACCTATGATCCCATTTTTAAACTCTAAGCACAAAGAATGCTTTGTAAGCATTGTAAGTGAATAGATCATCTATTACTAGGTGTGAAATTTGCTGGTGATGCACTATATGTTGTTACTCTGAGAAATATTAATTGGTAAGCAGTTTAAATTTTCCCAGGGAGTATGTGCTTTTCTAAAGAATAATTCTACCTAATCTGATAAACACTACAAACAAGATAAGCACCAGATCTCATAGGATTATGTATGGAGGGAGGACTAGAAGATACTTTATCTATTTATCTAATGATGGCTGTTCTATAGGGTGGTTTTTGGTTTCGTTTTTGTTTTTACATTTTACTAACTTAGCGTTTTGTTCCCTAGATTTGGCTGGAAATAAATTCTTATGGCTATGTCTAGATGCCCCCCAAGCTCATGCAGTCATAGGTTTTCAGAGGTGGCTGGATCTAGGGGATGTGGTGCTGGGATTAAAGGTGCCCCACCCTGAGTGTGGGTGGTACCACCCAGAAGGTGAGGAGCCTGGATGGAATATAAGGGACAAAAAGATACTGCTTCACTGCTTTGCTGCCTTTTGCATGCACAGCTTTGCCATGGACTCTTTCTTCTCTGCGACACCCTCTGCCCTGCCACCCTGCCTTGGAGCCAGCTGACTATGGACTGAAACCTCTACAAACTGTGAGCCAGATAAACCTTTCCTCCTTTTAACTTTGGGTGTCAGGCATTTGTCCCAGTAACGAGAACAGTAACTAAGACACTGCTCTTGTATGTTTTACACTAGCTATTGAACTTGTTCATTCCATGTCCTAACCTTCCAAGTCTACTGTACTTCAGCATGCATTAGCCAATATTCCTGAGCACAGTAACTAGCAATGACATCTTTCATACATGAGTTATAGCTCTCCTCCCTCTCACCTCCGGTTAATGAATATTTTAATCATTCTTAATTACCGATTGACATTTTATTCTTTATTTCAGTTACAGAATGAATTCTAACAGAACTCAGCCTTATACTCATGGTAGCCCTTTCTTGCTCATGATTCTAGAATCAGAATGTTTGAAGGATGTGATGATCATAATACAGGATGAAACTACTTTTAGTTAACTCTCATCCTGAAGATCTACTTAGTTTTAGTCATTGTGATTGTAAGAGGACTTTATCTTAAATCATTCATATTGTTTGGATGCTGAGTCCCCTTCTTTCCTCTTCTTTCTCTGTATACGTCTTTGAAGAGATGGTATGCATTTTTATATCATGCTCTCAAATGTAAGTTTAAACTTTACTTATCTCAATAAATTCTCCTTTTCTACACTACTCTAGTAGCTACTTAAAAGACCATTTTTTCCCTCAGAACTTTTAGATGTGCAATCCTGTCCACTTGTAGCTCTGCATCAATATCTGTAAGTATAAAAGTTTTGTGTTTTTCTGAATGGTGGTAGACAATAATAACTCAGTTCACTACTACTGAAAACAGAAAATCAATACATAACATCTTATAGGAAAGTAAAAAGAGCTAATGTTATTTTGTCTTTTACACCTAAATGTTTCTAGTTCTGCTTTCTTAAATGAGTATTTACAGTACTTTTTATTATTATTTGTGCATATTAATTGTACAAAATAATGAATTTCATCATGACATTTTCACATATACATAGTATGGGCTTACAATTGGAAATGCCAAATAGTAACGAGTATTTTGATCGAATAGCTGTGACCCAGATAATGATGCTCCTCTTAGTGGAGAGCTTCCCCACGGTCACCATGCTCACCATCAGTGCAGGCATCTCTTTGTCCACCTCAGGCTTCCCGTGAGCCTCATGGCTGGAGCTCTCTCAAGAATCTCCACCCCAATGGTGCAAGTGAAAACCGCAAGAAGTACTGCTGGTCCCATTAAACCTATTTGCAACTTTTAGACCCCTGTAATGTGCCTATAAGGAACAAAGAGCTGGAGATAGAATATTGTCTTGATCTATGACCAAACAATTGCAACTCTGCTATTGTATCTCAGAGGTGATATAATTTTAAAAATTAATGATCAGTCTTTTCCATGTATAATTGTCCATATTAAATTTGAGATGTATTCAGGCCTAAATTTATCATGAATATTTTTATGAACAAAGGAGGAAAGAAAATAGTATTTACTGAACAATTACTTTCCAGGGGCTCTGCCATTTTTTCACTCTATCACAGTGATGAAGAATCACTTTGAGAGGGATGTAAAGTAGTGCAAATGCTTGCATGTGATCTTAAGCACCAAAAATTTTTTAAGCAAAAAGAGACCACATTAGATACCAGGGATGCTAAAAGTATTAAATAACATGCAAAAGCCTCTTACGCTAGTGGCTAACATTTATTTAAAGTTCACATACAAGGAAACACATAGTAACTTTTGCATTAACCACTTGTGTTAAACATATTGCAGTTTTATGAATATTAACAACTGTTGGGAACTAAGCAGATCTCACAATCCAGTCAGTGTTATCTTGCCTCCTGGGGAAGAGCGAAGTATGAGGAAGGCCACATGCCCCCTGGCTATGGGCAGACTGATAGAGGCAAGAAAACATCTGCTGAGGACAGTTGTCAATATACGGGCATTTCAGAGTGGAGAAATCTGGTTCCTCATTAACTTAATTCTCATCCACCCATTCTGTACAATTGCTGTTCTGTGAAATGCCTACTACCCCTCATTCTTCACTTCTCACTGACTAATAAAATTGGGCCACCAGAGAAGTTTTATTCGAATCTGTCTGCTAGGGACAGGTCTCTTCCTGGCCACCCCCCCTTATATCTTGAAAATTGTCTCTGTCTCTTTCTTTTTATTCCTTGTTGTTCCCCACAAAGGGTAGCTGAAGATCTGATCGGCCCTCAGTAATCAACCATTTGAATAAACTGGTCTTTTTCTCAAAATATTATACACGGTAGACCAGCAGTTTTCACTAATTCTATATAGCCTGCTATAACTTGCATATTCATAATTAAACTATAAATCATTTTGTTAGGATGAAAACTGAACATTCACAAGTATTGTTATGAAAATTAAGGAGTTCCTAAAAGAAATTTCACTTTTGTAAACAGATCTTCAGATGGTAGATTATATTTCTTTAGTGAAGTCTCCTTTTTCTTCTTGCTTCAGTTTGCCAATACTCATTAAAATGTGGTGCCAAATTGAACTTTATCCATTCATATTACTGTGCTTCTGTCATTTACTTCTATTACTTGGAAAATTTTATTGACATAGCAGCTCCAATTATTTTAATTTTGCCTATTTTCACTATTACTTTCATTTCTTCATTGAAATATTCAGAATTCTAATAAACAATAGAGAAACTATTTAATATATAAAATCATCTATTATAAATTAAATATCTGTCTGGATATCTGAAAAGCAATCTGATAAAATATTCTTAGTTACTACAGTTTTTATTCTGTGCTGCACATCTTTGAGAGGCACATTGTATTTACTACTTCAAATACCAAATCTAGGGCTGCCATTAATTTTCTTTCCTTTAATTTTACATAGTTTTGGCCATGTTTTATACAAGTAATAGAATTTATAAGGATATCTATATTAATTTTTCAACCTCACTTTTAGTAAGCCAGCCAAGCCAACTATCCCATAAATCTCTCCCCTTTGTTATTCGAAGTCTCCTAATTCTCCTCTATAACACTACAGTGAGATTCATTTTCCTAAAATGATGTCCAATCATGCTTCAGTCTCTAAAACATAATAATTCTCTTCACTCATTGCCTATATTTTAATGAATGAATAGAATGATCTGAAATACAGGATCTCTCCCTTGGTGCCCTTCCACACATCTTTTCGTTCTATTGTCTACAGACATTTCCCATGTGACTATTTGGCAGCTGTCATAAATGGAATGAAATTCAGTATAGTTAAACACACCTGCCTCCTCTCAGTTAAAGAGCATATGCTAGTATTGTAGAGTGGTAAGATAATTAGATATCTTGTAGACAGTTAGTCAGGGCTGCCTTCAAGGTGCCAGCCCTCAAGGACCCAACACAGAGAGGAGCCAACATGGAGAACAATTGAGGCACATTCACTGGTTAGCATTATAAAAAATAAAAGAGGTACTACTTCCCCTAGAGATAGATAGCAGTGATTGATATTCTATATGGGAAAGTCCTTGCTTGTGACTTGTTTCTCCATTTGATGCCCATTTAATCAATATCTGAATGACTGTACTTGTAATCTTATTGGCTGGTCATAGTGTTGTCCCATCTCATGCCCACCTTATAAATTTCCATAGGGTCTTATAGTTTTGTCCCACACTGTACCTGCCTCATCTCATGGCTTTGCCATATGAAACACCTTTGAGAAGCAGTGTGGGCAGGTAACTCATTTTCTGGCCCCCTTCTGTCTCTCTTAGTTGGAAGTTATCTTTCTCTCAATAAAGTTTCCTAGTCAAACTCTATTGCTCCTAGAATTCATTCTTCAATTTTAGAGAACACGAATCTGTGTTTTGGACATCTAGCAGGTTTAGGAGTTGCATCTATTCCCCCTATATCATTAACATATGCTCACTGTTGCCTTATAATCTGTTTTCTTTTTATATAGCCATCAATTTTCAGATTTCACTTTTTCACAAAAATACTCCCTGTCCCTTTCAACTACTCTACTTCTTCCATTAATGTATCGTCTTAATACTTTGCAGGCATTTTTATCTCCTCTAATTCCAGAAAGTTTGGACTGCATCTCTTTTCCCTTTCTACTTTCTCAACTCCTGAAAGGACAGTGTATTCACTAATATATCCCAAGAACTTAGCATACTGCTTAGAACTGAACACACAGCATTTGACGCCAAGCAGCTAGAAAGGTAAAGGCAGCCTTATTGAAAGCATGCATATTTTATACAACTGCAGCCTGATTAGAGAATGCATACCAGAGTACAGATTGAGTGGAACTACAAAATATAAAAGGAAGGTTTCTTATTTAGTCAGATTACCCTGGAAACACAGTCTAAGACAATGATGTGTGTGCAAGTTTTTCTGTGAATATGATCCACAGGAGCACAAAGAGGAAGTGGTAAGTGGGAGGGAGCCAATACAAGGTGTACAAATGATCAGGGAGTGCCACCTCCCAAATACCCGTGCATAAACCAAGTTTGCTATTGTGATACAATAAAGCCCTTCGGTGGCAGGTATAAGTAGTTGGCCTTACAAAGACATTAGAATGTATGAAAACACTGAGTAACAAGGCAGAGCACCAGTATCACCTCCTGTGAGATCCTCAATGATATAGGAGTTAACTGGAGGCTTTTTATATTGACTAAGGATCCAAAAAGTAAAAAAAATGGTGTAATATGGTCATAGAAGTAGTAATAACAACAATAAATGACACAGTTAAACATACTAAATCAAAAGTAGGTAAAGTATATGTTGAGCAATATATAGAGAGCAAAATTTCATAAAATCATAGGGCTTTGAAAATATTTAAGTTATAGGTTGAGTAATTTAGATAGCACCTATAAGGCAAGATATACTTGAGTTTTTAATATTTTGTGAGGCATAATAAAAATCTTTAGGAAAACAACCTGTCAAAGACTTTTACAAAGGTTATTGTAGAAAAGTGCACTAACGTGGTGCAGAGCAACTGGTGTCTTTGGACGTATGTACTGCTATAACAAAACCAAAAAGAGATGGCTTATAAACCTCAAGAGGCCAGGAGATTTGGCGTCTGCTGAAGGGAAGCTGGTGGATTCATGCATATTTATCTTTTCTTATGTCTTCATAGAGCAGGGGCAGGCAGCTCACTGGGACCTCTTTTATAAAGGTTCATATCTCATTCCTGAGGATTCCACCTGGAAACCTAATCACTCCCCAAACCCACCCCCTCATGCTATCACTGTGAGGACCAGGATTCACTCTGTTTAGGATTGGGCTCCTGTGGCATTTTGGTTTCTGCCTGTCTTCCTAAAGGAGGTCATCAGCATCTGCCTGTGGAGGGAATATAGCTGGCAAATTTGAGAAAGCACTAAAGAAAAGAAAGGAACTCATTCAAATAGAAGAAGAGATGTTGGAGAGAATATGCACTTTGAGGTAGGGAAAAAATAGTGATGTATTAAAGAGTTTCTTCCTTGTCAAGGAAAGATAGATAAAAATTAACCACACATCCACAATCAAATCATAAAGTGAAATAAACAAAAACATCAAAACAAGATATAGACAACAATAATGAGCTTTTTTGACCAGGCAATTAGTTATCTCAGGAAAAATAGATAAAAATGTTATTTTACTAATGCACTGCTGGATCCACTCAGCTGATAGTGTACTGCTATCACTTTAAGAAATGCTCCTGTGGAAGTTAAATGATGGCACTGTTTATTTGTTTTGTTTGTTGGTTGGTTGGTACCGGGAATCGAACTCGGGACCTTGTGCTTGCGAGGCAGGTGGCAGCACCACTGCGCTAAATCCCCGGCCCATGGAACTGTTGATATCTCTCATAATTTCTTCTATATTTTATAGATAGTTTCCTCACACATTTCTTTTTATTCCATATGTGTTAGTTACTGAGACAAAATACCTGACACCAAAGTTAGAAGGGAAGGGGTTTATTTGGCTCACCGTTCGTAGAGGTTTGAGTCCGTAATCCGCTGGCTCCAAGGCAGGGATGACAAACAAGCATGGCAGAGCAGAAACAGCATGGCACACACAAGGCAGCAAAGATAACAAGAGAGGGTTTAACAGCGGCTTTCTGCTCCTTTTACCTTATTCAGACTGCTTAGGGTGGTAGCACTCACACCCTTAATTCTAGTGCCCCTGAGCCTAGCATTGCATCGTGAGTCAATTCCAGCTTCACACACTCTAGATCAATCCTATGACCACATGAGGCTTTGAGGGGACATCTACACCCAAACTATAACCACACTTTTGATTTAAAGAGACAGATTAGAAAAGTCCTGTCTATATTTCTGACAGGATTCATGCTAAATCATGAACTAGCAAGAGAGGAGTCACTACCAAAAGAAAAGTTCTGGTAACCATTTTGACCACAGATCGACAACTGAATAATTGGGATCACAAGATTTCAATAAGTACCTTAAATTTTAATGTAATCCATAATTAGCACATTTAATATGCACAATATTCAAATGTGTGAGCTGTAGACAGTCTTCACGCTGCTTCTGCCCTTGTTTGCACTTCGCACCTGGGGGTGGTTCCATCATGTAAAGTATTACACTTGAAAAAGAGACATTTGAAAGTCTGTGGTTTCCTTTCTTCTCCTCCCAGCAGCACTGATGTACAGTGTAGTTATTTCTGGATATTTAAGGAAATGGAATCAGTGCACTAAGACTAGAAGTATTCAGAATTCATAAAACAGAGCCCCAGAGTATAAAAATTGTGACAGAGAGCAAATAGAAATCTGTGACTAATTCTACTCAGAAGCACACATGTATTTGAAAGACTGTAACCCACAGTGATATAATGACAGTGTAAACAATGAGTGCTAGGAGGACATAAGGAATGATTTCTTTTGAGAAGTTAGTTGATGGAAGAAATTTGTGTTATTGAAAGTTTAAATTGTATTTCCTATTTGATCTCATTTAGTCACATATTCCCCCCAGTTGAAATAACATTAATAACTTCCTTACTTTCACACATAACTGAAGTAATAAAAAGTTGAAAATAAGTTATAATGCATAAAGAACCAGATCCATTTTATATTGTATCAGAATATTTTAACAAAGAAATAATTGTCTTGATTTTGAGTAGGATTGTGAAATAATAGAGGAACAGGAAATAAATCTGAGGCAACATAGGATAATGAACGCTTGTTAAGAGTTTCTTTTTTTGTTTGTTTTTCTCTTTTCACATGAGTGTTTTTCAACAGTATGTTTCAAATTATTTTCACTTTAAAGGTTTTGCAATCTATCATGAAATAACTCACTTTTTTCATAGCTTCAAGAAAATAAAGATAATTACCAATCACATCATGCATGAGATGAGTTTTATCTGTTTTCCCTAATATTCATGTTCTCTCTTTACCCCCCAACTTTTAGGTAATGTTATCAAAATTACACCAACTATATGGAGCATCCCCATTCAATGAGTTTAAGGTTTAACTGAAAAGATGAAGCAAGAATGCCTATAATTTAAAAAATAGAAGTAAATCCTAGTCCTGAACCTTGAAGAGATTTGTGGAGAAATGAATTAGCAAAATTCAGAGTGCTTCATAAAAGACTGATGGCAAGATTATAACAGAGTAAGAGTAGTTGGTAGGACATTTGAAGAAAAAAGATCAAGTCCATTTACATCAGGAAGTAATATTTCATAATATATAATGGCTTTGTGTTTTGAGACACAGGATGGTGAGAATACTCTCTTCGTGCTACAATATTCATAGACATGTTTTGCTGAGTTATTTGTTTATCCTCTTTAATTATAAAATTATGATAATACTTCAAAATATTGCTGTCCTGTTCAAATGTATAACCTTCAATAAATATTTATTTGCCATTTCTTTGTCCATTTTTTTAGGCACTGTATTTACCGAAATGTACATCCTTTCTGTACAGCTCTTGCTACCATTAAATGTACTTTCTAGAAGGGAGAGAAAGTAGTAACCAAATACTCATGTAACATGACAACATAGCAAGTGCGACCATGAAAAAAAAAAAAAATGAGCCAAAACTACACAAACAGAAATAGGTCAGTGGCTGCAGGAGTCTGAAGAGAAGGGAAGATAATAGGTGAAGCACAGGTTGTTTTTATTTTGGAACTGAGAATCACAGAGATAATTCTGTCCTCAACACAAAGCAGGTCCTTTTGTACAAATATCACTGTCTTTCTTGTTCTGCATGGATTTTGTGCTTCTGTAGAAGAGAAGCGTGATACCACTCTAGCTCTGCCTTTTGCAGTACTGTATGTATTTCTATTCTAAGTATGGTGCATCTGTCATGATACAGTAACGTCATGCGGGGGGTCTGGGGAGCTAGGGTCTCTGTGACACATCCCTCTGTTTCTCAGCTTCCTGCCTTCACTCCTGAGAGGAATGGAGCAGTAGGGTGCCGCTGGCTCAAAGCTGAAGGCACGTGACAGGGAATGCGGAAGTCAGAAATGACAGAGTGCAAAGCAGAGCTTTATTTACAGTGCTGCGAAGGTGGAGGGAAAGTCACCAGGTGGCGGGCCACGGGGCAGGGAGAGCTGAGTGAGTTTCCACGCAGATGTCTGCTCTGCCCAAGCTTATAAGGCCTAAACTGGTCCCTAAAAATACTCGTTTCACTGATTGGTGTAGTCCAGGCCAATCAGGGTCCTAGCATTGTTTCCGGGTGAGCTAAGGCTCCTGGGGTCTAGGGGCACACAGTAAGTGCATGCAAGCTGGTCCCTCAAATAACTTCCACGCCTGCAAAGGCCTCACACCGGGCAGCTTCCTCGAGAAGGCAGGCGGTCACTTCTGTAAGCCACAGCCACTTTATGCCCACCTCGCTGCCTATCTCCCCACTAACTGTCCCTACGACGCAATATAATTCTCGGAATATATAAAAAAGTATTCTTAAAATATTCTTTACTAAGTTTCCCACATTTTCCTCAGTTTTCTTGGTCTGCTGTTTGCTTCACCGTATGGGATGTGGTTCTCTTCACCCCCAGCTCTACGCAGGGCTGTGCACCTCCAGTCAGGAGCCCTCCCCTCTTGCATCGAGCCTGGGCCTCTGCTAACCGTCTTTCCTTAGCTGGATGTTCTGCCGTGGCCGTCATCTGCACTTCACACGCTAAGAATGAGTTTCCAGGAAGAATGCCAGAGGATGTGTGTAACAATGCATAAAAATTTGTTGCGTAATTTTTACGTACAAATTGAGTTCCGGTGTAAACATGACAACTGTGAGTTGGTGATATTATTCAATATTTTAAAATTAATGGTCAATAAAACATTAGAGTTTTATTCATAATTTCCTATATATATGCATTACTTTATAGTTTGTTAGTTATACTGTATAATATAATAGCCATATTACATAATACAGTAAATTATATAGTTGTAATATATTTATTATATAGTTCATACATTATAAAATGTAATTGATTAATGAATACAATATACATATATAATGATAAATTTATACAATACATATGGTATTACATGTGTTATGAAACAAAAAAATTTTGTTCATTTATTCATTATTTATATAACAAATTTTAACTTATTTTAATTTATTTATTTATTGAGATACTCGGGATTGAACTCAAGGCCTTTGCACTGAGCTGCATTCCTGGCTCATTTTTATTTTTATTTTGAGACAAGATGATGATAATTTACTAAGTCCCCATTGTGGGCTCAAACATGTGATCCTTCTGCATCAGCCTCCCAGAGTGGTCAGATTACAAGTGTGTGCCATCATGTCTGGCTAATGTCATAAATTTTTTGAAAGACCCAGGCTCCACATGAATTGATGAATGAAATATATTTCCTACCACGTAGGAAGTTATTTTGGGGAAAGGAAATACATTCAAAACAGTCTTAAATGTAATTGCCTAATACTAAAAGATTTGACCGGAATTCTTTATGAGAATGGGTACAGTAGTCTTGATTTCCTAAAAGTGGAATATTGCAGAGCTCCCAGATAGTAAAGAAGACAAAATAAGCAAAAGACATTAAAGAGTTAGCTCCATGCAAGAGCATGAGGAAGAAGTCAATGAGGAGCTCTTGGTGCTTCCCACAGGAGCTAGCAGACCCTGGCTTCACTCACTGGACTGGGAAGACAAGGGGAGCAACTTTGGGGCACAGACGGTGAATTTACTCCGGCTGTGCTGAAATCGAGATGTCTTTGGTTAGTGTGACTGTTAAATTTGTCGAGACCAGGTCACACATGAGAGGGGAAAAGAAGTGCAGTTAAAATTATGCGACTCAATTGGGATATGCTGGAACTGTCCTGATCAAGCTGACCTCAGAGCATCAGGAGGGACTCTCAGGGAGGACTGCATGCTGGAGGAGCTAAGTGGTTCATCTCATCCAGAGCTCAGACGCCTTCTGTGGTGCTGGAGAAAAATCAATGGAAATTATTAAAACATGATAAACAGTATCCAAGGATCCAAGTTGAAGGTGTGAGTGTGTGCATATCTGTAAATGTTGAGGAATTTATTTGGACAAAGAAAAATAATAAACAATAAAAAAAGAAATTATGAAATCAAGGTATAAAAGGAGAGATTGGTGTTGAAGATTATGGATAATAATGAATAAATTATTTTCTGAATTTTTCCTGATAACAAAAGGTCAAATGTGCATACCCAGTGTAAGGGATGCAGCAGTTGTGTCTTCTGGAGATTCGAGGGCAGAAAAAGAGTTTGGATGTTGACTGAGATGAATGGGAACAAGAGCAATCAGACTGCTGGGAGGAAACATTTCAATACTTTGGGTGTCACACATGGGTTCCTTCCAAAAAAGTATATCTAAATTTAAAGGAGTTCCAGCTATATATTTGCCATCTTTCAGGAAAACTCACACTTAATGAAAATGGGTAGGGAGGATAGGATCCAGAGTAGAAGCAGACAGAAGATCACAGCTTCTTTAGGACCTGAAATGGGGACAGCTGGAAAACAGCTACTGGGTAGGAGAAAGAAGAGAAGCCTAGGAGTTAAGAAAGAGCCAACAGAAAAACTACAAATCACTGAGAAACAAAAAGGGAATGTGGAAAAAAGAACAGCACAGTCCACAACAGCAACTCTAGTTCCTGGGGCAGTGGGGGGAAGAGGACCCCAACTTCTTAAGAGCAAGAAAAGCCCCTAGGTCAGCAGTCCCAGTGATAAGCAACAGACCAGCAGTGCTAGCCCAAAGCAGGAGGCACAGCTACTGTAAGCTGCAACTCCAGTGAAGGTATTTACTCCCAGAGAGACTCCATTCACAGAGTAAGCTAGCTTGCAAGAAAAAACATCATGATAATGCCTGCCATATCTAGAGTACTACAACCAGGAGCCATTTGGGGAGGAGATTATTGTGTAAACCTGAGCTACTCCAGGGATCAGAGGTCACAGAACAACCAGCCTTCAGAGTCCCTGGGACACCCTGCTGCCATGCCTGGGAAGGAGACAGCCAGAAAAACAGTCACGGAGAGATGGCGGCCACAGAGCACCAGAGAAATTGTAGCAGTGCAGAGCCACGACGCTGAAGCAACAGTGCTGGCCTCCCCTCTCCCTGCTGAGGAGCCAGGTCCACCAGCTACATTTTCTGAAGGTGCTGGTTTTGAAAGTACCAGCACTGAGCCCAGTCGATTGCTTGGTTCCCCTCACTGCCCCCTCACAAACTGGGTGGTCTGTTTGTTTTCTGCACCTCTAAACCTGTCTGGGGATGTGCCTCTGCTAAGATTTACAGTAAGAGTGAGGACACATTAAGAAGGAGCACATTCTTTGCCAGGCTAACGTCCTCTTAGAACTGTTGTTTAAGAGTGTGTGTGTTCATGTATGTGTGTGTGTGTGTGTGTGTGTGTCAGCCTCTGTATAAAGTTGTGGTTCTGGCAGTGGTTGTGATAGGGTGTGTAAAAACCCTTCATAACCTCCTGGGATTCTTTATTACCAGGTGTCTTTGCCACATGGCTCTGGATCCCTGTGTGGCCCAGGGACACCCTTGTGGGTGGGGGATGCACATCTCATGGTGTCTGGGAATGGGCTTTAAATTTCAATTGTTTAAGCAAAGTTGTGGTGTTTTGTCATGAGCACTTCAGCAAACCAATAGAGTAGGACAGATAAATCTAGTTCATTTTCCTGTTCATGGTAGGTTTTACCACACAGGTAAAGTTCTATGGACATCATCAACATGATTGTTCTAGTCAGTTGTCTTTACTGATATGCCATGACTGAGATTGCTTAGAGGCCATTACAAACTCAAAACTCAAAGGTCAATTATACCAGGAAAACAATCCAAGAAATAGCCATCCCCCTCCAAATACTAGCAATAAAGATACTTGCAATAAGCAATTTATAAACAGCAAATTAAATCAAAGACTTCAACAATAATGAAAAATTGGAAATGAGAAGACACCTAAACAAGAACCAAACTCAGACTTCCACATCACCAAAGGGAAATTTAAGGGGTGAGATGGAACAACCTGAAACCAAACCACCTAGACTCCCTGAACTGGCAACAAAAGAGGATCTGGAAAAAATGAAATCAGAAATAATTTGTCAGATAACCACAGAGATAGTGACCATAGTGAAAGACATGATTAATAACTCTAGAGCCCAGATAAAAAAAAATGAGGCAATCAGGATCATGATGGAGTACAT